CCCCAAAACCCCAAAACCCCAAAACCCCTCCTTCCCACAATATAATTTAAAATCTTTAAAAAATGGAACTTCAAGCACAGCCCAGCTTGCACCAGTAAGTTCAGAGGAACAGGTTTTAGTAGAGAGATGGGGTAGGGTGAGGGATTGGAGAGGGGGCAAATTGAAGGAAGGAGAGGAGATAGGGAGGTTTGGAGGTGTTTTGAGCAAATAGAAGGGTGGGGTTAGGGTATGGGGGTGGAGGGCGGTTTTGGGGTTGTAGAGGAGGGTGCGAGTGGGGAATGGGGAGTGTGAGATGTTGGAGAGATTTTTGGTATTTTAAACGAAGATTTATACCTCTGATAGTCGCTCTGTTATCGATAATTTAAATATATGAGGTATCTTTAGATGGGCTTCCGTGAGAGACAAGATATTACTAACTTTTGTAAGAAGTGATTTCTGATAAATTCTGAGTTGGACTTTTCATCTAAAATTTTGAATGATTTTAACAGAACTATAGACTTGAAACATGAGTAAAAGTCAAAGATATGCAGATAAATCATATCATTTTCAAAGACTTATATTATAATGCAGATTCGTCGGAACTAGAATTATCTCAAAGAGATCTAATATCAGGCAAATTAGATGCTAGAAGTAAAGAACTGTCCTTCTGATTTGAAGAAATTCGTGACCAAATGTTTGTAAAGAAGCTGTGCTCGATCTCTCATTTTGATGTGGACTCATTAACACTTTCTAATATTCAAAAGATAAATAAATATTATGACATTTTTCTGGACTTTTCTTTTCCTAATAAAGTGAACTGGTTCTGCATTGAAGCCGGATATACTAAAAAGCAATATATTGCCTATTACTTTGATAGGATTATCAAAATAAGTCATAAGATATGAATCAACATGGTTCTTTGAGGGTTCATTATCAAAGGAGATCAGCTAAAAAGGTTATTGAGTTCATTTAAACATTGCAAACTATTCGAACTATTTAGTTGCAAATTATCGATCCCGAATTCTTTTAACCTTTCTCAGGCTATGAAGAATACTAAACTCGAGACATTAATGTTCTATCATTGCGACTTCAGACTTGAGAACTGAATGTCTGAGGATAGAAAAGAGTTAAACAGCCTTATTGAAGGTCTTGGGACTTCAGAAAGTTTGATTTCAAGCCTCAAGGAATTAGACATCAGAGATTGTAAAATCTGCAAAAAGACAATTCTTGAGCTGCTTGAGCAGAATGGGTTTGGGAATGTCAAAATCTTGGTATAAATTGATGAATTTCTTCTAAGATCCAATCTCAATAAATTTGTAAAGGTTTCATTGCCTAATCTTGCTTCTGGTAAGGTATCTATACTTTATGGCTTTCTCTTCTTCTGATCAAATGTACCAGTGGCTTGTTGCTTTGAAGTAAAAGGTATCTGATAGTGAGAAGAAGAAATATTGAGGCCTGAAAAAAATAGATTAGGCGTTTAGTAGTTGGTTATGAGGTTTATATTGGATAAATTATTAGGGCAACATGATTTTAGAGACTGGCTTAAGGAATTGCTGTTGCTTTATTTAGTTTGAAGAATGCTGGTATAAAATAGAAATATTTTTAAATATCATCAATAAATTCTTTCAATCACCAATTTCTAAGCACTTAAACCTCCTTAATCTCCCTCTAAAAATAATTTATCTCCTCAATTTAATTTCCCAACTAAAAATCTATCCCCATTCTTTTTCTTATAATCTTACATATACTAATACTCAACTCCCTACCTTTATCTCTAACAGATCCCTACCACCCACTGCACCTCTAAACCAATATCAAGCCCCTTCATCTTCTCTACATCTCAACCAACTCTTTCAGTCCACCTATTTTTACAGTCTTCAACTTTTTGTAATCTTGTTGAATTTTACATTTATTCTCAAGGCTCGTATGGAAAATATTTTTCTTTGTATTTTAATTAAATTATCTGAGTAAGCTCGAGGGTAACTGGGAAAATTTATTTAAGAAATTACATAATAAATTTTATCCAGTTGAAAAGGCTATTAAGCGTATACAGACATGTTGAATCTTCACCTTTGCTTGGTTGCTAAATCTCAATCACAAAAATCTCTGATTTCTCCAATTCTTTGAAATATACTAAGAGTCAAAATCTTCGTTTCCCATTGACTAAATTTTGCTAAAAAACCAACAAAGAAGCCAATTTAAAAGATGCATCAAATTCAATTAAAGGACTATGAACCTCACAAGACTCAAAGAAACCTCTAAAACAATACAACTTCATCTCTCTAAATCAGATAAAGCTGAAATCCAAAGACTTTTAAACCAAAATAGTTTCAAAATATGTATCTAAAATATAATTCTTAAACCCGAACAAATACATCAACCTTTGTGTTCACATTTCTACCAAAAATGTAATTCTCCAAAATTGAAGACGTAGCGGCAATCCTTATGTTAATCTGTAGAAAGAGGATATTTTAAATATGATTCCTACATGATATGGCATCTGTATTTTTGATTCTAATAATTAGGAAGAAATTAAGAATATTTTAGTATTTTATAGCTTATTTTGTAAGCAGTTTTTAAGCTTTTCACCAGATTCAGCATAGATTTATCAGAAGATAATTTACTAAAGTTAAATCAATGGATTTGGGAGTTTATGACTAGAGTACCCATTTGAAATAGAGCATAATTCTAAGTAACATCAAGAACACCAAAAGAGAGGGACTAGCAAATCTATGTAAGCTTCCATAGTTAGTATTTATAAGCCAACCTCTTGGTCCTGAGAATTTTATGAGCTGGTGAAGAATCTACTAAAAAATAGGCAGATAACAATTCTTACCGAAAAGAACCTAATCATTAATGTTAAGTTGAAATTTACAAAATTTTAAACAATTCCAGATAGTCTCTAGTAATCTATTACGAATTATCTTGAAATACCTTGAGTCGCAGAGGAAGAAACAATTTATTATTTAATTATAGGAAGGAAGATAAAAATTAAACAACCAAGACTAGAAAAAGAAGAGTATTTATGATAATATGACAAAAGAAATCTATTCCTTAAAGAGGGAACAAGAAAAAAATAAAAAATAAATAAACATTAGAAGAATACAGCAATAATCTGAAGCTTGTGTGAAAAATTATCAACAAAGAGAGAAAACTGGTATCATTTATCTGAATAACAAATTACAGTTCACCTCACTATTATATATTCAATTCTCTCTGACTCTTCAGGGGTTTTGGGGTTTTGGGGTTTTGGGG